TCTCCCCATAGCTTTGTGTCATCTGCAAACTTGGACAGAGTACATTTCACTCCCTCGTCCAAGTCACTGATGAAGACATTAAAGAGTATCGGTCCAAGGACCGAACCCTGTGGGACCCCACTTCCCACACCCTTCCAGGTCGAAACCGATCCATCCACCATGACTCTCTGGGTGCGGCCCAGGTGATGATCACTCACCCAGGTGGTCAAGTACCCACAGACCCCTCACCAGGTCATCGTGTGTGGCAAGGGCCAAGTCCAGCAAGGCATTTTCCCTTGTGGGACTATGCACCTCCTGGGTTAGGTGGAGGTCCTGTATCCCGGTTAGGAACCCACGTGAGCATTCGGACCTGGCTGACTGCTACTCCCAGCAGATGTCTGGGTAGTTTAGGTCACCTATGACAACCACATCCCTTGACTTTATAGCCTCCATGAGCTGACCTGAGAACTCCAGGTCCAGCTCGTCCCCCTGGTGAGGCGGTCTGTAGTACATGCCCACTAACAAGTCCCTTTCCCCACGCCCCCCTTGCATTCTTACCCAGAGCACCTCATTTTGCTCCTCCTTCAACCCCATCCTGATCACTGAGGATGTGTCTTGCTCTTTGACATATAGTGCTACTCCCCACCCCTTTTCCCTGCTCTCTCTCTCCTGTAAAGCCTGTATCTCTGGATATCCACTGCCCAGTCATGGGTAGAATCCCACCAGGTTTCCATGAGCCCCACTAGGTCTGGGTTTTTGCTAGCTAGAAGGAGGGTGAGTTCCTCCTGCTTATTCCCCATGCTTTGAGCATTTGTGTAGAAGCATTTGAGGCCTCCTGTAGGTGTCTGTGCCACCCCCTTGTTCCTAAGTCTGCCTTGGCCCCTGTCACTTACTTGGGTATTACCTGTGCTCATCACTTGGCTTGTTCTAGAAAGCAAGTTAATCGGTAGACCCTAGCAACAGACTGTTTTTAGCTCCTCTCTAATAACTGGTAGGGCACCATTGTCTTCTTTCTTTTGTAAAGAGAACTACATATGTACACTTTGGGAACTTGACAACTGATTTTATTTTTGGATTTTATATTATAGAACTGGATACTAATATTCCTTAAACCTATTTCTTTCATTTCAGCTTTTTAGTGATATCACTTCTCTATACAACCTAAATGTTTCCACTTCCACCAAAACACTAGTGAGGATTGTATCACCCCAAGAAAACTGGAACTCATCTAACACCTTTTCTCCGGCTTCATTTCCCAAGTCTTTGATCTCCAGCATTCAAGGAGACCAGAAGGATCAGTGTTCAGAATTGCCTGATAATGTACAGAACACCATAAATCAGTACAAAAATGGATCTGGTTCTCCACTGAAATCAAGTGAAAGCCAAAGAATTTTAGCATCTTCACTACCTTATTATGGATGGGTCAGTTGTCCTGAAGAAACAGATGGTAGTGAAAATAGTCAACATTATCTTCCTTCTCTGAGAAATGTAGCAACAGAGAGAGCAGTTAGTCCCTCATTTTTAAAACAGAACAATTCAAATATATTCACTTCTTCAGTTCATATGAATCATGAAGCCAGAATCCCACCACTGAGTCACAGCCAAGATGTCACTGACTCCAACCTTTCAAGTTACTTGCAAAAAGAGTTTCATGCTTCAAATGCAGCAGTAGGCAGCAAGCTGGATACCTCTGATTCCTCAGTCCTTCCAAAGAACTCTGAGGCCTTTGCTCATCAGGATATTAACAATCATTTCTTTCATGTACAGACACAACCACTGATAATGCATTGTAACTCTGATCAGGCTTCCAAGCAGGCATGGTATCTTGTCTCTAAAAAAGATGATTTTTTTGCAAGCTTTAATGAATTTCCATTCCAGAGAAGTTCTAAGAATTTTCTAGAAAAATTTTCAGGGATGGCAGACAGCAGTGCAGGAGTTCAGGATAAGGGGACTCTCTGGCCTAAGTATCCATCTGATCACACATTGGATTCATTGGCACCTCACTTCAGTCTCTGTGATTCATTTGCTAATCCAAATGAACAAAGGAATCTAAATTTTTACCCAAAAGCTAGAGAATCTTCGAGAAAGAGGCAGCCTGGTGAATCTTTATTAAACCATAAGGAAAAAGATGTTTTAACAGGTATAGTTAAGTCTTGTGAAAATCTGCTGAGATTAGTCTTTATCTATATTAAAAACAGAAATATCTAGATAGAAGACAAGATCTTTGGAGAAACAGGTTATAAATTATAAATTAAATCAATTGTAAATAAATTAAATAATGTAAATTGAACCTTTGTATTCCTAAAAAGGGATGCACCCTTGCATGTTGCCCTTATTATTATCTTTTAACATTTGAATGTTTAATCTTGGTTATATTCCTAGTATATTCAGGAAGTGTGAGCAGTGTTCCATTGTATACTCAAATTTAGTAAATGACTTAAAATTCTTTCATATTTTCTGAGTCACTGCTCTCATTTTAATCTCTTCACTCTACAGTGAAGCTTATGCAATGCCCAAGAACTTTCACTAATTGTACGAGAATCCTTTATGAAAACACCAATAACCAATTGATATCATCCTGTCTCAAGGGTTAAGACAAGCTGGCAGAGTCAATTGTAACATGGTGTGCTGCTTTTAATTTTAAATGGGGAGGGGGGAGGTATTAAGGTGATAATAAGAGACCTGTAAACAAACTGGCTGTCACTCTCTTGGGAGGTGTGAGGCACTGCTTGGTGGATAATAATACTGCAGCAAATGGAAATGGAAGTTTTACCTTCAATAAGCAATTGTATAGGAATCAATCACCTGCCACCAGACACCCCACTGTCTGTCCTATTCAACAAACTGCAGAATACCAATACTCTTACAGCACACACATACACAAAGATGAAAACTGATTAAAGCAGCAAAGATATGGGCTTTGTTTTTTGTCTTGGCTTTTGGTAGAATGGGCTTTTTTTAGTTCAGTACTTAGGAGCCAAAAGAAAACAACTAAAGACAAGTCACGTATTAGACAGTTGTGCATAGTCACAAAGAATGGTCCAGTTGCATGAAAGATGTTGCCTGTTATTACTACTGAGAAAAACATACCTATGACACTTTGCTAGATAAATCACACCTTTCTTTTTTCCCCCCTTTTCCAGGTTTAGGACTTGTACAGGTACCACAGCTTAAGAAAAAGCGACTGACATTTGAAAAAGTACCTGGAAGAAGTGATGGACAAACACGTCTTAAATTCTTTTGAAGGAAATTGAGAATTAGATATGACAGATGTTTTTTTAATTGTGTGGAATATTTCAAGGGAGCCATTTTAAATAATTTAATAATTACTTTTGCCCCAGTTTTCTGGTAATTTTCATATGCTGAGAAGTTATTTGGTTAAGGATTTGCATTATTAATTAATATTATTTTTTAAATATTTTACCAAACAAGTTAGTTGCTTAAACCTGGAGAACTACTAGAAAGAAATGTCCGTTCTTAGTGATAAATAAAAGATCATTTTAAAAGAATGTTTTCACTTAAATATATGGTCTCTCAATTTGTTCCCATAGCTAATATAAATCAATGACAAAGGACCTTCATTATAAAAAAAGCCATGTTCATTTGACCAAACCATACACTAAAACCTACGGACATCCCTGGATCATTTCATAAGAAGGTTGCTCTCTGAGGAGTGGTTAGTAGGGATGTGCAAAGCTTCAGTCCCTGATTCGATTTGGTGGAGATTCGGCCCAATTCGGTGGCCAAATCTCCTAATTTTAATTGAATCAAAGGACGCTTTAATCTTTCCGAATTGAACTCTCTGAATCAATTCAGAGAGATTCGGTGATTCGAACATAGTCACAGCTTTAAATGTTTTTTCTACATACCTCTAGGTACCAGGCAGCTTGTGAATGCTGTGCTGCTGGGACGAATGGAGTGTCCCATAGAAGTGCAGGGGAATCCCCAGTGTGCTTGGCAGCAGACCCGGAAGTGGACTAGAAGCACTTCCGGGTCTGCCAGAGAGCGTGCTGGGGGTTCCCCCGCACCTCCTTGACTTGGCAGCTGATGCCTCCTAGGTCTGGGGGGGCACCCAGGGTCCCCCTGTGGCCGACTGCTGAGCTGGGGAGGGTCACTGGGGACCCCCCCCATGCACTCCTTGGAAGACTCAGAAGTGGACTGGAAGTACTTCCGGTCCCCTTCGGGTTTGCCGCTGACCACGTCCCCCCCCACACACACACTCCCGTGGGACACGCTATGCACCGCAGCATTGCACTGTTCACGAGCTGTGCAGGTACCTCAAGGTATGTAGAAAAAACATTTAAAGCTGCGTCTATGTCAGTATCACTGATTCTCCGAATCAGCATCAAATCTTCAGATTCATATTCGGCTGAATTGAATCAGGGACAGTGATCCGAATCAACAAATTCAATCACTGTCCCCGATTCGGCCCGAGTCTGAATCAAATAGGGCCCACTTCACACACCCCTAGTGGTTAGGATGTTGCATTTCCAACCTTGCAGGTGGCTCAAGATCTGAGGATCTCAAGGCGGCTTATGTCAGGTTAGGACTGTCAAATGCACGCAGGCCCAGTGCCTCTGTGTTTATCCAGATGGTTTCACTTCTCCATGATAGTATGACTCTTTTTCAATCCTGAGCTTCCCAAGAGGCTCAGCTGTTGTGCACAAACATTCCTCTCCCTTCTTCCCCTTTGTCCTTATAGCAATGGCATGAAGGGCAATGTAGTGCAGTGATACATACTAGTTATCTGTCTCATAGCACAGAGTAAAAATAATGCTAGCCAGACAAGCAGAGAGGCACAGGTGCCTAACCCAGGCAATTAGGAACTAGATAGCTAATGGGGCTGTGCAAAACTTCGGCAGCCGTTCAGTTTTGGAGGTGTTTCGGCCCATTTCAGCACCTGAAACACCGAATCCAAACGGAAGGCTCCAAAACATCTGGGTGGTGAATTGGGTGGCAACATTTGGGTGGCAACATTTGCCACCCACAAATCTGGGTGGCAATATTTGGGTGGCGAATTGGCTAGAGGGTCGTACCCAGAGAGTCGTAGTGGATGGGTCAGTATTGACCTGGAAAGGTGTGGGCAGTGGGGTCCCGCAGGGCTCGGTCCTTGGACCGATACTCTTTAATGTCTTCATCAGCGACTTGGACGAGGGAGTGAAATGTATTCTGTCCAAGTTTGCGAATGACACAAAGCTATGGGGAGAAGTGGACACGCCGGAGGGCAGGGAACAGCTGCAAGCAGACCTGGACAGGTTGGACAAGTGGGCAGAAAACAACAGAATGCAGTTCAACAAGGAGAAATGCAAAGTGCTGCACCTAGGGAGGCAAAATGTCCAGCACACCTACAGCCTAGGGAATGACCTGCTGGGTGGCATGGAAGTGGAAAGGGATCTTGGAGTCCTAGTGGACTCCAAGATGAACATGAGTCGCCAGTGTGACGAAGCCATCAGAAAAGCCAATAGCACTTTATCGTGCATCAGCAGATGCATGATGAACAGAACCAAGGAGGTGATAATTCCCCTCTATCGGGCGCTGGTCAGACCGCAGTTGGAATACTGCGTGCAGTTTTGGGCACTGCACTTCAAGAGGGATGTGGATAACCTGGAGAGGGCCAGAGAGATCGCCACACGTATGGTTAAGGGC